CGATGTCCTCAAATACTTATTTAGTGAAGAGAAATGCCATTTTTGGCTTATGAAAAGGTTGTATGTGCAGAAGATAATTTCTTGAAGGATAAACTTTGCCGAATTTTCAATGATCTTTTAATCAAAAATAAAATCATACTTAGCCCTTAATATATAATCTGTAGGTAAATAACAGATCAGTATAGATTAAATACATAAAAGATTCAGTCTGAAAAAACAAACAAACATCATGAAGAAAGTATTATAAGCAAAACTGCATGAAAGGAATATGCTAAAAACTTAAGTGAAAAGATTGTTGTTTATATTGTAGGGTTGATAACCTTACTTTGAGTTCTTGTCAATAATAATATTATCAACTTTTTCTAATTTATTATTCTCCATATTTATTGGGTTATGATTTCCATAACTGATTCCCAGCTAAAAGACTTCTGAGTTGTCTTGTTCCATCAAGATGAAGATAAAATGAGCCCTAACTATGAGTATCCACATGAATGGGTCAGGAGGAGCAATTGATGAAACTGGCATCACAACATAACAATGGAAGCTCCCTGTCTATTTATGTACAATGTTGTGACACAAGCATAAAAGGGCAAAACTTGTGGTATGATATCATATTGTGCATTTTGTCATTTTTGGCATCACAGACTCTTACCGGTATGTCCCTAATTGTAGGGATCAGCCTAAGCTATTAATGCAACTCTCAAACTATATGAGAATTGAAATTTTCATTATTTGCACGAAAGTGGTCTGAAAAAGAACATATAACTAACTGTAGTCAGAGATGGGATTTCACTTTCTCTGAAAGCAATGAATTCCATCTCTACACACAGCTGGAATTTAGAGGAAGAAAATAAAAATAGTTATAAACTGATCAGTCTGTTCAAGAACTATCCATAGACTTATGTGTACTAGAAAAACAATCTAAAGTATTGGTTGTTGCCTAGTTTATTCTCGTGGCAGTAGTAATTTTTGGAAAAATAAGCCACCCAAAGCTTGATATAAGATGGGTGGCTGTATAAATGTTTTAAATAATTAAATAACAAGGAATTTGATTTCTTTTTTTTTTCATTATTTACAAGAAAATAATGGAGACAAATACAATTGAGCAGGTCTCCTGTTTCAAACCGCCTTTCATTCTGCCAGCAATAGAAACACCCACAAGAGACTACAGTGCTGAACATGCACAGAGGAGTCATCTGCCATCCTTACATTCCTTAAGACCACTATATACCTATACTAGCCCTAGCAGAAGTTGAATCCAACTACTTCCAACCCAGTGGGAATGTTAAGGACAAAAAGCACTGAGTCAGTTTCTGACTCTGAATGTACCTCTATATTTAGAGTTTAAAAACCAACAATTAGTGTGATGTGAGGATTTAATATTTTGCACTACCAGATTGATAACTATGGTTCTAAATTGCTTCCTGGAGGATTTTTTTTTTTTTTGGGTGCAATTGCATAATCTGTACTCAATGTGTACACAATTATGCTTTTTTTTTTTTTCCCCTGGAAGAGGAATCTATTTCATCAATATATGAAAAGCTAGCCATGCTGCCTTGCTATGATGCAAAAGAAGCTTGAAGAGATTGTATTGCATTCATTAAAATCTGGGATAAATTTCCTTTTCTGCCCAAAGTCAGTTGATGATGAGGAAAAGTAATGATTTAGCAAGAAGAGGAAGCAAAAACGGACTTTACACTCCTGGGATGTTCTTTCAACTTCTCAGTTGGTGGTGAGCATAAAGCCCTCACATTTCCTGGTGGTTCTCCATCCAAATATTAAGGAGGCCCAAACACCCTCAGCTTTTATGAGATCAGCCAAGGTCAGTTAGAAACCAGTATTTCTCTTCAAACATACCGTATTTCTGCAGATGTTGCTTTTGTTTCTTGACATAAGGCATGACAATAATTTTAGACTGTATTCTAAGTATTCCCTCTACTGTCGAGAACAGTGTTTCTCAACGTGGCAACCTCAAGCTATGTGGATTTTAATTCCCAGAATTCCCTAGCCAGCACAGCTTAGTCTATCATCTAGCTTTCCTGTAGCGGGGGGAATAGCCTGAAATTGGCCAGACTGCTGGAAACTTGCTGACACTATAGACAGACAGGCTCCTAGTAGGGAATGAGCACTATGCTAGGCACTATTTTTATTTATTTTAGAAGAGGTAACTATGGTGGCCTACGTTCAGGTAATGTAGGAAGGAAGGGAAAGGATAGAACATAGAATATAATTTTTCTTACTTCCGGCCCAATCTCAGTAAGAGGTTTTTCCTCTAGCAGGCCACCTGGGCAAAAGCTGGAGGTGTAAATCAAATTGAAAGTCAGAAGTGAAGTTGAAAAGAATAGAAAAATAGAATAGAATTCTTTATTGGCCAAGTGTGATTGGACACACAAGGAATTTATCTTGGTGCATACGCTCCTGGAGTACATAAAAGAAAAGATGCATTCGTCAAGAATCATAAGGTACAACACTTAATTATAGTCATAGGGAAACAGTCAATATAATCTTAAGGATACCAGCAACAAGGTTACAGTCATACAGTCATAAGTGGGATGAGATGGGTGATAGGAACCATGAGAAGATTAATAGTAATGCAGACTTAGTAACTAGTTTGACAGTGTTGAGGGAATTATTTGTTTAGCAGAGTGATGGCATCAATAACATATATTTTTGCTTAGAAATATGAAGGGAAATATAAGCCAGATAGTTTTCCTTAATTCACTTTTCTATTGGAACGTTAAAAGAGGCAATTCTTGGGAATTGTTGCTACTCACCTGGCCTGTTGGCTCCTCTAGGGCTATTGTATGTAGGCAGCAAAGATGCAAGCAATTGCTAGGGTTTTTGGTAGTTCGAGGTTTTCCTCTGTTAAGGCTGTGCAAACTGCTGAAAAAGGCACTTTTGTTCTGAAGGACGCATATTTGCAAAGCAGTATTTGGTATGTCAATGAAGATTCTCAGTCCTCCAAGTAGGGTTGCCTGAAAATTGAGTCCATGGTAACTGGACTTATTTTTGCTGATTTGAAATATTTGGCTGCTAATCCAAGCAGCTTCCTCAGTTGAGGCAAATTAATTAGTCAAAGAGTCATTGGAACGTATCAACTTCTCCTGTACAAAACTCAGGGTTTCTTCCCCAAGTGTGTGACAATATGTCAATGAAGATTCTTAGCTAGAAAATTTCCTGTTGGAAGCTTGTAGGAGCCACTGCCATTCAATTGGGCAGATTCATACTCTCTGCCAAGATATAATGGAGATGGTTTGCTTAGTCATCCAGGTAGGATTATCTGAAAACTGAATTTGTCTCCATTGATGCTGAAGGAATTGTACATTTCAATGACTCTCTGCCTAATCAACTTGCTCAGCCCAAGGAAGCTACTTGGATGGGCAGTGAAATGTTTCAGATCAACAAAACTAAGTCCAGTTGCCATGACTCAATTTTCAGACACTCTTTGGAATATTATACAAAGTCAGTCATTCAACACATTAAGCCCAACTTAGCCAGTTATGGTTTAGGGAACAATCTATCCTGGCTGGATTCACACAATATTTTAAGAAGTAAAGTGAGTTTATAAATCATGCTGGCTAGGTTTAAACAACATTGTGTCCTCCCATGTCATATGATTCTGTTCCCACTCTTAGTATATTGTATGTTCATTCCCAATTTTTTGGGAAAAAGAATTTCTTGGACAAGACAAGTGTTTAAAAATCTGATGCCTACTATAATTTGTTCATGTTATGCTAAATGAGGGTATTGTGGTGTGTGAAAAAGGGTAATATTAATTAATGCTGTCCCTTAAGACAAAGGAACTTTTGATTTAGGGGGCTACTGAGTCTGACAAAGAGTTGTCATATCCAAACCACCTCCTTCCCTGGAGTTGGTTAAGCAGAAGTTGGACATCTTTCTATTGGAGATGCTGCAATAATGGATTCCTGGATTGGGCAAGAGATTGGACTAGATGATCTACAAAATTCTTTCCAAACTTTTCAGTGAAAATGCTGAAGAACGTAGTTTTGAGGTAAAGCAAATAGAGGGAAACCTCACTGATTAAGAAAATCTTGTCTCTTTGTTTGGCAAACATGCAAGTTCATCTCCAATGTTTGTCAGCTTATGAGAAGTTGAGCCAAAGTTGTACATAAATTCTTGGAAACTTGGGCTCAGCCTTTTTGGAAAAGAAGAATTAAAAAGAGAACGAGCACAGTTTGAAAACTCAGATGCAGCCAACTGGGCAAACTTTTGAAGAGAAAAATGGACTAGGAGAGAAAGTTTTATGCAAAACACGAATGGCTTGTGCGTTAGCAAAAGCAAAATTTAAATGGGGTGGGCCAAAAAATGTTTTGGTAGCCCAGTTGTCTGGAAACATACTCTTCCTAGAATTTATTTGTGGCAAGCTTTATTATGTTCATATGGATCCAAGCTAGTGTTCTGACAGCCAACAATATAACAAATAATAGCTTTTGAGCATGTATTCCATTATTCAAGTGGTATTTATTTTTGAGCAGAGTTCAGTACTGATTGTCTGGAAGTTGTAAATTGTTGTAGGAACACAACGTAATAATATAGGACAGAAAGTATTTCTATCATTGTTAAACCCATCCATGGACATAATCATGAACTTATTGGGCAAAGTTTCTAGAGTGCAGGTTATGAACTCCAAGAAAGATTCAACAGCAGCTATTTTTCTTTAGAGAAACTGTGAACTAAGAAAACTACCATAGCTGGGCTGCAAAAATCTGGGAAGGCCCTAGATGACATAAGAGTGTTCTTGGTGGGCCTTTTGATTTTGGAATTTGATCTGGGAGTCCTCCTATTGAGTTGAGGTTAGAGTTGCTAGAATTCTCCCTGATATCCCTCCTATGAATAGGAACCAATGCACACAAGAAACTTTCATGCAGCCAGACTTTCAGAAAAGTAGAGAACAATTTGGACGGGCATGTTCTTAAAACACACCTTCAAGACCAACCTGCTTTGTTTTAATCCTTGTCATTTCCTCGGCTCATTTTTAGAGCAGGCAGAGATTGAGCTCCCTCCCACCAACAACTTCAACCCCTGCAACATCCATGACCGTAAATGCCTGCAGAAACAACAAGCAAGAGCACGGGAACGAATGAACATTGGTGTCAAGATGAGGAGCCATGGAACCCTCATGCTCCGAGAGGACATCCGGCCAGTGGTGAGGGGCTTTGGTCTTTCTTCAGAGAAAGGGGAATAGAAACCACATTTGACTGAATTAGGCTCCCATTTGCTGCTCAGTTTTGCTCTTCATTTCCCAACATTTCAGATGCCTTCCAGATGGGTTAGAATTACAAGTCTCAGAATTAGCCTGCCAGCACAGCCAGAAATTTTAGCCTGATGCATTTGGAGGTTTGAGGACAATCTGATTAAGAACACCTATTTGAAACAAGAAATGTTTGTGCTTCTGTTTCTGTTTTTTTGCTACTTTATAAAATTCATTCCCAACTTGCCTCAGTGCTGGTTCTTGCTAGTCATTTAATCCAGTGCACCAGCTGAACTCATTGGAGGCTTCCCTGATATATCCAAAGTCACCTTTTGAATATCTCGCTAAGCTTGACTAATCAAGCCACAGATGGCTCATTAACTACCTCCATTCCAGAGAGAAGTAATCTGGTGAGAATGAAAATGTTCATTAACATGATACCCATATTGACTCTTGAGAGACATTGGATGCATTCACAGCTCCAGTTCCTGTGTTCTGACTGCAATTCCTCCTTTTATTTTGTCAACAGGTCCAAGGCTTGTGTCAGAGTGAGCTTCAGAGAGCCTTAGAGAGACTAGCAGCTTCCCAAACCCGAACCCATGAGGACCTTTACCTCATTCCCATCCCTAACTGTGACCATAATGGAAATTTTCATCCTAAACAGGTAACCCTGAAACATGGGACAGCATGGGTAAACCAGTGGTGAAATCCAATTTTTTTTACTACCGGTTCTGTGGGAATGGTTTGGTGGGCGTGGTGTGGCTTGGTGGGCGTGGCAGGGGAAGGATACTGCAAAATCTCTATTCCCACCCCACTCCAGGGGAAGGATACTACAAAATCCCCATTCCCTCCCCACTCCTGGGGGAAGGATATTGCAAAATCTCCATTCCCACCCCACTCCAGAACCTGTCAGAACCTGCTGGATTTCACTCCTGGGGTAAACTTTTATTTTGTGTGGGCTACATTTTTTTTTTTGACCAAATTCTCTTGATTTACAAGCAGATTTTTAATCCATTACAACTCAGAACTGCATAGCACATGTTATGAACTATTAATAATTGTGCATTAAGGCAACTCATGTGTGTTCGCTTTATCTTATGGAACACCAACAATGCATCAGCATAATTGAGAAACCTGGGTACAAAAATAAACATAGAAAGAGCAACAAACCTCCATTCTCTGTTCTCCAATTGTAACCTATAGGATGATGGAAAGTCCTTCTTGATGCCAATTATGATAATATAACAATCTGCTTACTGTTCTTACACCTCAAAAGTTGGATAGGACATTGCAATATTTAATAAATAGCTTGTTCTGATTCCAAGAACTGGCATGATGTCATTAAACCTTTCCCAGCCTAGCATCTTTCTGATATGACAGATTACACAAGGTGGAAAATGTTAGTAAGAACTTTCTGAAAATATGTTCTTGACAATTCCGGTAAATAACTGTTATGATGGCCATAACTGGTCAGAGAACACATCCTGAAGCTGTTGAGGTGACTATCCATCATCCTGGTAGCTTCCCAACAGTACCCTCTGCCATTCTATTTGCCTTTGCTTTGTATGGAGTTGGTGGCACAGTTCCAGATAAAACACTAAACATATTGCCCTTTAAAAATAGCTCTGGACCTCTGTATTCCCATAGTATCAGTAATGTTGAAGACCTGAAGTGATTTATTTCTAGTTCAGCTGTGGTATAGTTGATAGTTTTTGCTTTTTTGAGATGCCATTTCCTTCATCCCAACTCTGGGATTTTGGATTCCATAAGGAAAATGCTAATTTAATGGCACTTCAGTAGCCCAAATAAAATTAATAGAGGGGAAACAACTAGCATACAAATAACCAAGGTACCCCTCCCCCCACCAAATCCAGATCACCCCGAACCTGCACTTGGTGATAGTGCTGAGGCTGGGCCTGGGCCTCGATTTCAGACCTAGAGCCACCACTGTCACTCAAAAGGACTGTCTTTTGCCATTCCCCATTGTTCAATAGCCTTGGAGGATGGTATAATATTTCTCGTGGCCAGTGATGGGATTCAAGTAATTTAACAACCGGTTTTCTGCCCTAACGATTTCTTCCAACAACCTGTTTGCTAAAATGCTCAGAAAGTTAACAACCGGTTCTCCTGAAGTGGTGCGAACTGGCTGAATCCCACCACTGCTCGTGGCCCAGTGCTCCCTAGGTTCTGCCCTATATAGCTTATTTTTACATGGTGTTCTCTTTTTGTTGACAGGCCCTTGTGGCCTACTGTTCTTGGTTGCATGAGGTCTTCATTCTTGAAGCAGGTTTGAGGAAGGTTCTCCCACAGCCTCAATCTTCAAAAACTGTGTAAAAGCACTCCCCATTCTTACACAATTTTCAGAGGCTCCAGAAGCCATTCAAGAGCACTGCCCTTTTGTATGACTTCTGAAAGATTTGGAGGCTGCAGAAAAGCACATTCCATTCTCATGCAGCCTTTGCTATCTTCAAAAATTGTGCAAGAATGGGGTGTCCTTTTGAGAATAGTTTTTGGATATTAGTGAACCCTGATGTATCACCCAAAATGTCATAGTATATCATAGGTTCACTACCTCAAACTGGCTGTCATGTAATGAGTCCAATATTTTCTAGTCTCCCCCCCTCCCCAGTTTACATTTTCAACACAAATTTAAAGTACCTTTATACATTCTAGACAATTTTTGGTGATCTATACCAACCATTTTATAAAAATTCTGTTTAAGTTATAACATAATATACATTTCAATTCTTTCAACCCACATTTTCCCACTATTCCATTTGCATATTGTAACCAAAAAAATTAGTCATTTTATCATATATTCTTTCACTTGTTCTTTCTGTTTATGCATTTTAGTAATAATATGTTCATTTGTAAAGAGGTCTGTTTTCAAATTCACTCTTACAAGGCTCAAAACCAAAAGTTTTTTCATCTAAATCTTTCTATAAATGTATATAAGAAAACCATTGGCAAGCATATCCTATTTATATAAAAGTGGTTTGGGATACAAGTAAAGCCTTTATTAAAGATTATTTTGTAAAACATAATTCTGAATTCAAAAAGAAGAGCCAAGAAAAAACACAGGTTATTTTGAAAGCATTAAAAATGTCCAGAGAAGATAAGCATTTCTCATCAAATTAAACATTTATTACAATAGTTATTGATGTTAACAATAAGAGAAATGAAAGCAAAAATAAACTATATGTAAACAAACAAAATTTCAATTTGCAAATAAATTAGGGATATGGCTAGAGTACAATTAAGGAAAAAAAGATACTGAAACTTCAAGAGAGAAACATTGTATTAATGATGTATAATGGCTATACAAAAGGATGGAACAACTGAAGTTTGTGTTGCCTTAGTTGTGGGTAAAATGAAGGCAATGTGAAAAGGATATGATGTCAAAAATAATTAGGAGCAGAGCAATATGAGAACGAGTTCTTAGTAAGAGTGTATCATTTTTTTTCATAATTATGAGAATTACTCTTCTATCTTTCTCCTTTAGTGTCACCCAGCTTTGGATGGGCAACGAGGGAAATGTTGGTGTGTGGATCGGAAGACAGGGGTGAAATTGTCAGGAAGTCTGGAAGTGAAGGAAGATTTGGATTGCCATCAGCCTGTAGATGGAGTGGAAGAGTGACCAGGCTGATAAGTGGACAATAAGACTTGCCTTGACAATCTGCCAAGGAAACTTGTTGTACTTAGTGTTTTGATAAGTAGATGCAATGCAAACTGGGAGTTACCACAATGCCTTTTTTTTTTTCCCTGAGGGGGAATAATAGCAGTAACGGCTGCCTCTCTCCTCAAAATAACTGCATTAATCTAAGCACAATGTGGCTTAGTCAACCCGTATCTCTCTGCTGTTTAACTGGGTAGCTATTTGCATCCATGGATCATTCTTCACTGACAATGGAAACTGTATTCCATGTGAATGACCATCGATGACAAAAGGCCCCACTGGCTTTAATCTTGAGTACCTCAATAAGTCTTTTGAGAGTTTCCTCTGAGTAGACCTGCTCTTGTTTTCGATATAAACTGTTGGGGAACTTGCTTTTCTTCCACTGAGAAAGGGAAAAAGAAAAGCAGGGGACAAAGCTCTTTTCCCCACTTTTTTTAAAGGTCCACTAAAGCCCAAGCTGGTTCAGTAGTGCCTAGACTTCTTCCATCCTAATATACTTGATCTTCTTAATGCAAGGGATACATTACATTTAGGATGAGAAAAAGTATGCTTATTTAAAAGGCCTCATTTTCTAGCCATGATACACCAGTGTTCATTCCTGGAACCGCTTTTCATTGCCATGGCTTAATCTTGAAACCCGTTAAAGCAATAATATAGATTAGAGCATTTTTGAACAAAATGCTCTAATTTATATTGACCAAACAAACTTTTCTTAATCCCATATTTCTCCAACAAGACATCAGAGTTTCACTTTGAATTTAGGATGTTCTTTTGAGGCATAATTTCAAGTAAAGTTTTAATTTAAAAGGCAATTGTTACAATTGTTAATTCATAATCCAAATAGGGATAAAGGGATACAATTACAAAAAAACTCAAATCATAATGTTTAATAATTAAAACCATGCTTCTACATTCATATATTTTAAAAAATATGGCTGGTATAATACAGCTGATGTTCCATTCTTGCTATTAGAATTACTATTCTAAATAGTAATTAACTATTCAGTTTATTTTCAAACAAAGTAAGATAATATTTGGTGCATAAAATAGTATCTTTGAAATCTGGAAAAATGAGATTCTAATCTAGGGCATTTGGTAAAAATAATAATGAGTTCCAATTTGTAATAATAGTGACAAAAGAACTTTTAGAAATTGGGATGGGAGCTGGATTTAGCAACATTTTCAAGGATTGTGCTTTAGCTTATTTGAATAAAATAAGAGTGTGGGAGGGAAATCCTAAAAATGGGTCTATGTGATTATTTAATTTACATTGGAGGTAGGATTCAGATTCACCTGATACAGCTATTTGCTTTCTTTTCCCTTCCTGTTAAATGTAAAGTAATTATAGCTCTGGTATTAAGAGATGTACCCAACCTAGGAATACTTCCAATCTGAAAACAAAAGTAAAAATGTTTAGAGAACCAAGACTGAATTTGTCCATTCTAGAGCCCAACCCCATTTATTATTAAAAACAAGGCCACTTTTTTCCTAACAATAAAATTAATGCCATCAGACAATCTTGCTGCAGAACAAGGAATCCCTTCCTCAAATGAAATATGTCTCATTAGCAAGTAGAGTTTGCAACATCGGGGAGGAGGAGATAAGAGACTTCCAGCCCCCTTGCTGGAGTTTCATAAAAATCTTCAATTTGGGCTGCCAAAATTTGTTGTCAAAACCATTAATTTTCTATGGGGTAGTTTCTCACATTTTGCCTTTAAAAGGACAAAATAGATCTCCATGAGGTGCAAAGTAATTCATTATCCTTTTTTAATTGTGTCCCTCAGATTAGAATGTTCTTCCTAACTATAAATACATATGTTGGTCTAACTTTCAGATAAACAAATTGTCAAGAAGGAGACTCTGAAGCATATTTTCATAACATGGGGCAGCACTAACTTTTAATGAAGTCTTTTATCTTCCAAGAGTGTAAGAACTCATTGCTCATTACGACAACCATGGGGTGGTGCTCTTTCTAATGGAGAAAACTTTGTTTAGACCTTGTTGCTCTTATTAATGACTGGTTTTAGAAAGGGAACAGTTTTAATAAGGAATTGAAACTGTCAGCTGCAGCCTTTCTTCCTGAAATGACATTATTCTAAATGTAGGTTCTTTTTTTAGAATGTACTAAGACAATAAAATATCAAAAGACAGAAACAAAAACATGATGCATGAACAATAAAAAGGGATGAAAGGACAAACAGGAAAGGAATACAAAGGGGGAAAAACCCAAAATAATTCATAACATGAGGAAAACAAACATATGGTTGAACCTTATCTCAATTAATCTATAAACAACAACTATTTCCCAATAAACCTGTCAATTTGATATCTAACAGAGCTAACTAGGAAAAGAGGAATAAATAGTAGATCATCTACTATTTCCAAATCCAGGCTGCTCATGTTGCTCAAAACAGCATTTGGGTTTTATTGTACGGCAAACTCTTCATTGCCTTCAGGGTATTTATTATGCGGATTTGGGGAATCTAATCTTTTCTGGGAAATGAAGGGAAGAGTAGATTCAGATCTACTGAAACTGAAGCTGGCTGCAATCCACTGTTGGAAGGTTTTGGACTTCAGTTTAATTCCTTTCAGGCCAGTGGTAATTGCTTGATCCCCCTCTGATCTACTCCAGTCCTTTAAGAGTGCAACTCCAGGAATTCCATAGTCATTTTCAAGTTGTTGGGTTTCTATTTTCATAATTTCCAGCAGCATCTGGGGATCACCAATTTGGGAAAAGCTATAACTCCAAATAGAGCTGATTGGTGAAACGCAGCATTTACCAAGGATGAAAACAAGTGAACTTTCATATACAGTGGTCCATAACAGTGGTGTATTAGTTATTGCTAGCTAGCTTAATATTGTCTGTGATATTTTATCACAGCGATACATTGTGACTGGTGCCTTCCTACAGGTGTGAGCAATCTTTTAACATCTGCAGGTTGCTATAACGTTCATGGCAGTGTTCCTCAACCTTTGCAATTTAAAGATATTGGACTTCCAACTCCCAGAATTCTCCAGCCACCATAATAAGTGGCTCAATTGTGAAAATTAAGTCATGATTTCTCTATTTTCCCCCCACGGCTGCAGAGACAGGTTTCTCTTTTTGAAAAAGAGTTGTTACATTTCTTTGAGGGAACAGTAACAGTTTTGGAGGTTTTCCTGCCTCAAAATGGCATGACTAGTTTTTGATAGCTGTGGTGCAAAGGGGATTGGTGGGTCACAAAAAGAAGATGGGGGCCCCAGGTTGCCTATTTCTTCTTTATTGCTTTTTTGTAGGTACAGTGCATTTTTTAAACTGCAGTTATCTGAGAGTCAAGTCCACTGAACTCGGTGGAACTAATATTTGAATAGCTATGCATCCTATTGCCCTATTTCATATTTGCTACATCAAACATAACGTCTTTCAACACAATTGCATACAATGCTCAACAATTACATTTCTAGGTGTCAAAAATGCTCATACAATGCTCAACAATTACACTTCTAGGTGTCAAAAATGAAGAAGTAAAGGTGAATTTTTGTTGAGAGGAGATATTCTCTCAGTGCCAGAAACTAAAGTTGTGTACCCTTCAAGCTTGATTCAGTTTGAAAATTAAGTCAACTCTTAAAATAGCAGCACATTTTAATAGCTGATCTCTTTAGCAGATTATTTGAGAAGTGCAGAATTTAAAATCCCATGGAGTCCAGAGCAGTTCTTCTGAATCCATTTTGAAGCAGGAACAGTCTTATTAAATGCCTTCTGTTTCATATCTGGGAACATACAACATCTTCACACAACACGTGTAATCCAGTCAAATCTGGTAGTATTGTATACTTCTATATGGTGCCTCTCTTCATCCTGTCAGGCTTTTGCATACAATAAGAGCTGTGATTATTTGCTAATATATTGGTTGCAATGTTTTTGTTGCTGTGAATGTTATTGCTCTTAATTCTATTTTTTTTAAAAAACAAACTTTTCAAATGATACAGTTGTTGTATATCACTTAATTTGAGCATTTCTGGGAAAAGCTATTTATAAATGGTAAAAATAAAAGAAAAAATAAACCAAAAATGTCCAGGGTGGTATTTTTTACATTTATATTTCCAGGTTTCTTTTTCACTGGGGATGATGAAATATTCCATGTGCTCCAGATAATCCAGTGTTTTTTTCCAAACTTGGAAACTTTAACAATTTTAACAGATCTTAATTTGCTAAATTTGAAAAACACTGAGATAATCCAATACAAAGGAAGAAAATAAACAGTAAGAAAAACAGGCATTTAAAGATCTTGATTGTTACACCCCTCCCACCAATTTGAGAAAAGAATATTCAAGTGAAATTACAGTATATCTTACATGAAAATATAAGCAATATCTTTTTCCTCCTTTTTCTTCAAAAGAAACAGAGGTGAGTTCTTACACTTTTAACCAGAAATGGTTCCAAAGTAAAGGTAAGAAAGAAACAGACAGGCCTAAACTAAATGCAGTTTATGCATTTAGCACTATTTGCAGTTAAAACAAAAACAAAACCATAAAATAATCTTGAGATTTCAGCAAGCATGGAGAAGGAATTTAAATATTTGCTCCCTTGTTGTTTTGCTCTTCTGAGAGATATCTAAGGGCAAATTTTCTCACAGTGCTCTTTAGAAGAGTGATTTTCCTCAAAGGATTATAACAAAATCCAATAACAAAATTCCAATAAGCAACTGTTCCCCCTTTTTTCTCTAGCTTTTTATATTTTAAAAAGAACAGTCTTACATATTAGAACCAAAGGCATGTAGCATTACATGAAAGTAGAGTATAATAGATTTATTCAGGCATAATTTAGAATTATATGAAGGAGCCCTAGGCAGCCTTAGACTAAGGAGCTTCTGTCTCTTTTCTTTATTCCTATACAACCATGACAAATCCTTGTTTATGCAATCAATGTTGCATCTGATTAGTTATGCTGCAATTGGTCCTTGCTTTGTTTCAAGATTTGTTGAAAGTAAAGATGAAAAGAGAATCACAAAAGAAAAGGGAGGAGGAGAATGCAGGAGCCCAAAGATACACATAATTCTTTAAATCAATAGGGATGGTGATACTGAAAAAATGGCTTGCATTCTCCCCTCAACTTCATTCTTTCCTAACTAAATTTCCACTTCAGAGATGAGAAGAAACAAAACAACAACAAAAAAAGCAAAAAAGACATCCCATGTCCCATCCATCATTCTTCCCAATGTTTTCTCTGGAGCAATTCCTAAATCCTATTTAAGCTTCATTTCCTCTATTTAGGCTCAATTTGTAAAGAAAAGAATGATTAAAAAATCATCATGAGTCGATCTCCAATCCTCTCTCACCCAAACAGAAATAAATCTAATCGAACCCAATCCAGCATTCAGATTATATTATTTTCTCCAAAGGGTAAAAAATGCAGAATGCTTATTTGCGGAGCGGAAATTTCCTTTGGGATGAGAGCCTTGAAATCTTATCTTAGCTTTGAAAATGTAATTGAAATTGCACATGGGACTTCCTACAACAAAGAGTGTCTACATATTGCGGTACAATATTAGTAGAATGCAAATATAATTAAGACGTGCAATGTGGAAGCTAATTGTATAAGACTTTAATGAGGGAAATCACAGGTTGGACTAGGTTCTCTCTCAGTCTAATCTATCCTACAGGGTAGCTAAAAAATAAAATTGAATAATTTCTTTGATTAACTGGCAGAGGAAGATTCTCATTATGCTGCTCTGAGTTGTAACATCTATTTAAAGTTCAATATATAACAGATAATTTCCCTTTTTTTGTATATTATATATTCTTGTATATTGTTAGCTTTCTCGATTTAATGTAGAGGTGACATCAATGAATGGAGGGAATTTAATTCTTTTCCTCCTATCTCTTATATTGTTTAGAAAAGATATACATATACGTGCTATTTTCCACCATAAGACAAATAAATACAAACTATGACTCTAAAAGCATTATTGTAGTGTTGGCTGGGAAATTCTGGGATTTGAAATCCCGCCCCCCGTTAAAGTTGAGAAACATTATCTTATGTTGTTCTACTTAGGTTAAACTGATTTATTTACTCAATATCTTAGAATCACTTTGTAGGGGAACAATAGCAATAGCACTTAGATTTATAGACTGCCCCATAGTGCTTTATAGCACTCTCTCTAAGTGGTTTACTTTGTCAGCATAGTGCCCCTAACAATTTGGGTCTTTATTTTACTGACCTCGGAAGGATGGAAGGTTGAGTCAACCTTGAGCTGGTGAGGAACAAACTCCATGCTACTGTAAATTTAAAAGAAATACATTCTTCTTTGAAGAACCTGAAAAGATATTCAAATCTGGGTTACCAAGCTTTACGTCCAATTCCTTAGTTCACCAATTTTTGTTCTCTATGGCACTTCCACATGGTTCCTGTTGCATTCCCCTAAGACTTCAGAATTGTCCTGATGAACTACCATAGTGGAAGAGGTTGCAGATGTGCAAGCATACTGAGATATGGTGGAATACCAGTAGCACTCATTGATTTCCAGAAAGAGTTTCTAAACCCTCCACCCACAAATGGCTGTACCCTTTCCACAGCTCCTGGAAGAGCTGACATAGTAATACTTAACTCAAGAAGAAGCAAGTTATATATCTTTCTTCAGCAGGTTGGCCTGACTGGAGGATGTGTGTTACAGATTATTCCCTTTCCGCAGAATAAATGTCATTGGCTCAAAATATGTTAAAAGAATTCACTGTGAATATCAAGATGAAATAACTACTGTAAAGGAAGGTAAAAGCACAAAGCAAGTTGGAGGTGGAGACAAGAAGCAAAATAAATGATATTTAGGTCAAGCGAGGATCTCTGTAAACACACACATGGGGTAGAAAGTTACACAGCTTTCACCTGTGTAGTTGAGTTACACAGCTCAGATCTCAGTCCATAAAAGGAGATAATTGCATACAGCAGCTAGTTTTTCCCATATACCTTGCTGCATAATTCTGTGATGTCCAATCTAGATTTCTATAGGCTGGGGCTTCCTTCCTTTCTTTCCTGGCATCTCCTAAGCAGAGCAAAGAGAAAACAAGATCAAATGGCCCCATTTTTCTCTCCCCCCCAGCTTTTTAAAGACCACCTGGAATTTGCGAGACATATATGTTTGCATGTCTCTTCGCTGTCCCTTGGGTTGACAGATTCAGTTTTTTAAAACTCTTCCAATGTCTGAACTTCTTAATAGGGTGGTTGCAGCCATCATGTTGACTTTTCTGAATTACTTGTGGATGCTCCTGGACTGGGTATACCCATTGTGCTAAACTATAATATGTTTGGCTTGATTTTGGCTTGCTATTTTTGCCTTTGGGGTGTGCAAATCATAGTTTGCATAATGTTTGAAGCTAGCCATTATGGTGTACTCAATTAAGCATGGTTAACAGTGATCAGTGCAAGATGTGAATCCAAATACTATTTCATCTGTGGTAATGCAGAACGCCTCTTTTCATCAACACTAATACTGCTGACACATATTCAGTATGTTATCAAAGCTAATATCATAATTATTATTGGCAGCTGCTACTGCTCAGCTAGTTATTCCCCCCTCATCCTATCCTCATCCCCAAATCTGGCAAAGCAACTCTTGGCTTTAATAATTTTTGCCTGTTGTTACTTTTAGAAATGAGAAAGCCTGGGGTTGTTTTCCCAGCTTGTATGAAAGCTCTAGCAAGACGAGTGTACAAAAGTTAGATTTATGTCCTTATTTTGTACCCTCCCCATCTTTGGTGCCAACTAATAACAAATATTATGTAGACTTTTGCATTCATTTTAATGGGCCTTCCATCGGGGAATGACATGCTGATAAGATAAATGTCATTTGCAGCTGCTTCTTCATTTTCTTGGCAAAGTATCTTGGAATTCTTAGACTGTTTGTTCCCCCCAACCCACTTTTGTTGAAGAACTCAGCTGATAAACACACAGAGAAAAAGATGTTCAAGATGGGGGCAGATGGCCAAGGGCCCCATCAACATAAATTCTGAACAGGAGCCAACAGCTTGCTAAGTCTTCTCTCTTCACCTCTGGCAACAGCCTTTTAGGGCAGTCCAGAAAAAAAACAACAATAGAAAAATCTTTAGTTACCAAAGAAAGATTTAAAAGGCCTGCAAACTGTTGCTCCCTTACATGTAATCTCCCCGAAGGACACGGAAGGTCCCTGAAGGAGAGGGAGAGCACCCCAGAAAATAACCCCCCACTCTTGGTGTACACAGAATATCGTAAAATGTTTTCAGGTCTTGTTATCTGAGCACAAGAATGGCTCAAATTGGCATGAAACACAGTAGTCTATTCTTGACCATCCTTGTATGGGTGTTTGTGCCCCCTAAGCTCTACAGGACCCAGTGGAAAAGCCTTATGTTGCTTGAATCATTATATTCCCCTTCCTTCCTATCCCTTTAAAATAGATCTGCCTCCAAAGGAGGAACTCATAATGCATAAGATTTCCCAAACTCATGAGAGTGATGCTATACCATACTGAATGGCTTGAGAGAGATGCTTCCTAAAATTCAATCCAACCCTTCACTGACTGATTTATTGTATTAATACTTTTTTCTTTAATGGGGTAATCCTGAGGTGGGGCAAAGAGCTATTCAAAATATGAAGCCATCACCTGAATCCTTGCCTGCCTTACCATTGTCATGAAATCTTACCACTACGGCTTCATTTCAAAAATACAGATGCCATTTGCATTTTTTTCATACTCACAGCAGCGATAAAGCTATAAAACTCCTCAAATGAGAGGTTGAACTTTATACCAAATGCCACATCCTGCATTTTCACAGTGCTGTCACAAACCCCAATTTATGACAGACAGTGTAACCTAAAATACTCATGGGAAAGCTGTAGCAATTTTAGATTATGGAAGAAGAATTTTGAAATGGACTTTGGCTTTGTGAATGTTCAAATTCTGGGACATGCAATGTGAACATTCACAAGAAATACTACAAGTAAGTTTGTAAAATATTGCAACATTGCAATAGCACTTCTAGACTACCACTGCTTCCACTTCAGGAGTGTCTATAGAGGGGAGGGAGGTGTCAAAATAATAA